CATATATATATATATATATATATATATAATTATATAAATATATATATATGAAAACTTTGTGGGGGACTAAAAAATTATTTCTACACCGACCGCATTTTAGTTTTTTAAACTTGTTCTGAGCTCAAGAGTGTGCTTACATTTTTAGTCGAATTCAAAGATGACAAGTCTGGAGGATTGCGTCAGCCGAACGACAACGTCGTCGTCTTCTGATGAGACTGACCTTCCCACAATAGGCTTAAGTGGGCCACTGGAGCTGGTTTTCCCATCTCAGCCAGACCTTGGCTAGACTACTCGAGTGGCTCGGTCGGTAAGTAGTATGTTGGCGATAGAGCAAGAAAAAAAATTGCCAATCGAAAAAATTACGCGATCCACCCAGGCTTCAAGTAAAGCTCAAATTGGGCTAATATGGGTTGACTTTTGTGTTACCTGTCGCCATCCTTGGGTAACTGCCCCATAAATATCCGTGTCCGTTGATGTCGGCCGACGGGCCCCCGCGGAACGGCACTCGAGTCCCCTGGTAGGCCATTCGACTGGTCGGCATCTCACGCCACGACGGGCTTTGCTGGTAGCCATAATGCGTTTCCACATAGTTGGCACCAATCAAATTCCCCAGGCCCGAAGCGAGAGTAGTCAGGGCGACCAAAAAAAGGTTAAATCCACTCGGAGACTGCATTTCACGTCGTCGACTGGATCAAGCTCCCCGCCAGAACGCACAAAGTATAGCCTCTTTGGGAGATCCGAGAACAGAACAATGATGCTCAACGTTTCAAGAGTTGTTGCATTGCTCAGACAGGCTGTTCCAAGCAACGAGTCCCTTTTAACGCGGCAGAAGATGCGAGCTGCCTGGGATGCAAGTCTGACGCTTGGCTTTGACAGTTCCATGTCGACTTTTGATTGGCCAAAGGCTACAGCCAATCGGTGATGGAATTGCTCGGCCAATCAGAGTCGGGCGACAAATTCGATCAACTTGAGTCTATTACGTCTTGGCTTTGGGTGGATGGCCTAATTCATCTCCAAGCCGACCAGTACTGCAGCATGGAGGCGAGACCCAACGCCGAATTGGAAGACACAAATTCTACCCACAGCACATACCATCCCACCGGTTGTGTTTAGCCCAAACACGCAAGGATGGGGCGACTTTTTCCCTCTACAGCCTAGATTATAATGCCGGTGATGAAATGTATCAAATAGTCCTAAATAAGGGCTGTTGTCGTGAAAGTTAAAGCTCCAGCATAGTTTTTTATCAAAGCCGTCCACGAGGCATCCTCTTTAGTTTTGGGCAATCTCGTGGACTGCCTCAGCCTGAGTGTAATACCAACGAGATCGGCACAAGAAACTCTCGATCAGATACACTTTCACGCACAAATCAAAGACTGCAAAACATGTTAACTTTCATCTGCATGCAAAAAGACCGCTCCAACCGCGAGGCTGAGTCTCGGTGTCAACCTCGTCTTGGTCCCATCGGAGTCCACTTGGTGACTGGAACCTTTTGTGTGCCGGTCAAGTGACAAAATTGACACACGTCAAGGCAAGCATCGGCAAATGTACACAATTACGTCGGTACTTTCCAATCCAACTCACCTTCCCGATGTGTTGGAAACACAACGATTGTCACCAACTACATCAGAGAGTTGAGCGCTGTTACGCAACTACCTGCATACACGCAGACAAGGAAAGATAAGGTACCAAATCATTCTAAGTTATGCGTACAGGCAGTCTTTTTGATAGGGTCAGATGGTTTTGGGGACTTAATGGTGACATGGAGCTTGCGTCAGAATCACTTCCGGCTTTTGACGATGTCCATCAAGCGACATGACGGACGAGAGCCTCTTCAAGTTTCCCCCGAAACGAGGAAGGACGATTCACGGACTGCGCCAACCTGATCGACTTCCACATCTCTTCATCAGACATACTTTCATGAGAAATTAAGGTCTCTCCATTGGAATGGTACCTCTAAAGGCCTGTCAACACCCAACTACTTTTCGACTAGATAGTCCTCAAATGAAAGTTTGTCCACAGCGGACGGGGGTTTATACCAAACATGTGTATCATCTTCACCGTCAGCCCGACGCGAAGCCCGACTCTGCCCGAAATGACCCTTAAACACATAAAAATGGCATAAGCTATAAATCCTGTTGCACTTGTGCATGCGCTGGTATGGATGAAACCACTTAACTCTGAGCGACTTCAAAGTGACGACAAGGCTTGGTTCGTTGAAATGTAGCTACATTCGGGTTGAAACACCGTTTCACGGCACAAAACTGTCCACAACTCGAAAGTCAGCCAGAAAATAGTCAAATGTCCATGCTTCAGTAAGAACCAAAATTCGAGGTCTTCTAACAAATGCCGTAGCACTAATTCATATTATTTCTCATAATTATCTTACGATTGTATAAAACACTACTGAATTCCTCACCAGTAGCATGGCCAAATTGGATAACAATTATGGATTTTTCTATTTCATATCAAGGTCCCATGTTAAAAGACCTCATGTATACGATATACTGGTAGTCTCGAAATGAAAAAAATTAATGTAATCCATTGCTATAGCAAATACAACTTTGCTTCATCGACGATCACATCGCAGAATGCGATATGGGAAAATGCGCGATGACCCAACGGCATTCGTAGCAATTTGGCGTAAAGATTATATGCTGCATTATCTGAGTTCGAGTCCTGCTTGGAGTAAAGTACTCGTATCATTGTGGGAAAATTCAATTACCTTTAACTAAATAGGCTGAATGCATATTATAAAAGTCATTTTTCCCCTTTTTTATTCATTCATATATGCATAGTAGCAGCAAAAGATAGATTCAAAGCTTAGTCAGAAGACAATCATTTAGATGCTCGTATTTTGAGTAAACCTGAAGCGTCACGGCGTGGGTGGCTTTCAAATTGTTTTCGTTATGATCCTGCGATAATTGCAGGTACTACTCAATTTCTCAGCAGTAGCACCCTTGACGGATATTACAAATATTCTTTTATCAGTCAAAAAAAGGCCAGCTTGCCTTGAAATTCGCATCCTCTCACTGATACATTGGCGCCCATGCAAGCGCTGAACTTGCGCGAAAACTCTATTTTAAAGTCGACAAATTGAATTAATCGGCCATCTCTTCTCTTTATAAAGGGTGGTAAATC